TACTAGATTTTAAATGATGTTTATTCGTTCTATCGTTATACTTATGTACGGAATAAGTATTTATGAGATAAATACTTATAAAATTTTTAAATTCCGCTGCGTTATTTGTTTCGTACGGGTATATCGAACTCAACACCACGATGCTGCCGAAGAGAGATAATGTTGACGATCGTTTCAAACGAATGGAAGAGCGATTCCAAGGGGTGGACGACCGATTCACGGACATCTCATCGGGGATTGAGGAAATTCGCCAGGCTATGAACACCTTGATGGAGGAGAATCGTGTGAGACGCGACGGCGGTGACCGGGCCGGGCGCGGTGGGCTTCGCGGAGGCCGCGGAGGGCGTGGCTATTGCGGGCCGCCCCGCCGGCGTTCGCCAGGGACTCCGTCCGGCACTGATGACGAGGACACGTTCAACGAGGTGAACCCGTTTGCTGGAGGACAGCGACGGCAACCACCGGACGACGAGTTCGGTCAGCAGCAAAACTATGGCGGTGGTTGCTTTCCTCGCGGGGGTGGCGGCGATAATCAGAGGCGGCGTGAGGGACGCTTTCCGCGGGATAGGGCTGATGAGGAGGACGTCGACCAGTATTTGGAGGAGGAGGACGACTGGGATTATGAACTCCAGAGGCGGCCAGGGTTTCGTGCACGCGAGGGTTTTGATCGGGTGGGGGTGCATCGACGTGACGGCAGGCGCCCGATAGAAGGTGGCGATGAGTCGCGTTGGGAGCAAGGGTTTCGGGTCGAGATTCCCGAGTTTGATGGCGGCGTCGATGGTTCGGAATTTGTCGATTGGTGGGCTGCGGTTGAGGCAACCCTCTCTTTTAAGGAGGTCCCGGATGAGAGGCGTGTCGCTTTAGTGGCCACATGTTTTCGAGGCCGTGCGGCAGTTTGGTGGATGAATGTGAGTAGCTTGCGGCATCGTCAAGGGAAACAACCACTCTCGTCGTGGATTAAATTTCGTGAGCTTGTAGAGCGTGAGTTCGTGCCCTTCATCTATGATACAATTGTTTATCAGCAGCTGCAGAATTTACGACAGGGGACTCGCTCAGTAAATGACTACACGATGCAGTTTCGTCGGCTTTTGACTCGTGTCGCTTTGCGTGAGACAAAAAACCAATTGGTGGCACGTTATGTCGGTGGATTACGTGCAGGGATTCGCGAGACGTTGAATATGTTTCGACCAGAGTCGGCGTCGGATGCTCACCAACGAGCTCTCCTTGTCGAGCTGCAGTTTGCACAAAAGGCGGGCCCGTCGTTTCCTTCTTCTTCGCGTACGGGTGTGTTCACGGGTTCGGCACCACCAGCCCCGCGCTCGAATCCTACAACAGCGGGCGGTGTCGGTCAGGTGTTCGGGCGCTTGCCGGCGTTCGGCGACGGGGCCCAGCGAGCAGCAGGGATGGGCGAACAGCAGTCGTCGGCGGCAACTTCACGTGGCGTTGCGGGTCATCGCTGCTTCGGCTGCGGCGAGCCGGGACACCGCCAAGCGGTCTGCCCAAAAATTTCCGGTACGCGGGCTTTATTTGCGGACGAGGCCGGAGAGTTTGGGACTGCCGAGGGCTACGAGGGTCCTCCGGATTTTGATGCCGAGGCAGGTGACGTTGAGGAGTATGTGACCGGCGATGTCGGCACGGCTTTAGTCATTCGAAGAACTTGTCTGGTCCCGCGTGGTTCTCCGGACTCACCGGTGGAACGTCATCACCTATTTGAGTCTACATGCACGATCGGTACCAAGGTATGCCGCTTTATTATTGATTCGGGTTCTTGTGAAAATGTAATTGCGCAGGAGGCAGTGGATAAGCTACATCTTTCTACCGAGCCCCATCCGCAGCCGTATACTTTGGCTTGGATTCAGAAGGGCACCGCTGTTACAGTGGACCGTCGGGTCTTGGTTTCTTTTTCTGTTGGGGCCAAATATAGTGATCAAGTGTGGTGCGATGTGGTCCCGATGGATGCGTGTCATTTGCTTTTGGGTCGGCCTTGGCAGTTTGATCGGGCTGCTACTCACGATGGCCGACAGAATACTTATTTCTTTCTTTTCGGTGGTGTTAAAATTATTTTGGTGCCCAATGCCCCTCGCCTTCAGCCGCCAATAAGTTCGCCTTCATCCGTGCTTGTCCTTTCACGTGCTGATTTTGTGGCAGCTATGCATGACTCTCCGGTGGCTTTATTACTTGTGGGCGTGGACATGAGTGCTGAGCAGCCACCACCGGCTGCCATTCTTCCATTACTGTCAGAGTTCGCTGACGTTTTTCCAGATGATATTCCTTCCGGGTTGCCACCACTTCGTGACATTCAACATATTATTGACTTGGTTCCCGGGGCTTCGTTGCCTAATCACCCTCACTACTGGATGAGTCCTATGGAGCATGAGGAGCTTCGCCGTCAAGTTGAGGAGCTTCTCCAGCGGGGTGTGGTTCGTAGGAGTTTGAGCCCATGTGCGGTCCCGGCCATTCTCATTCCCAAGAAGGATAGCTCGTGGCGGATGTGTGTTGATAGCCGTGCAATTAACAAAATCACGGTTCGTTATCGGTTTTCCATTCCTCGCCTCGATGATTTGCTGGATCAGCTGCATGGTGCCTCCGTGTTCACTAAGTTAGATCTCCGTAGCGGCTATCACCAGATTCGTATTCGGCCTGGGGACGAGTGGAAGACAGCGTTCAAAATCCGAGAGGGGCTGTTCGAGTGGATGGTCATGCCGTTTGGCCTGTCCAATGCTCCGAGTACTTTCATGAGGGTCATGAACCAGGCTCTTTGAGATTTCATCGGCACTTGCGTCGTCGTCTATTTCGACGTCATCCTCATTTACAGTCGTTCGGTGGAGGAGCATTTGCAGCATGTTTGTTCTGTCCTGCTGGTTTTGCGGGCTGAGTCCTTTTTTGCTGCTCCACGTAAGTGCTCCTTCTTGGTGGATTCTGTATTATTTTTGGGTTTTGTGATCTCGACACATGGTATTCGAGTCGACGACAGCAAGGTGGCCGCTATTCGGGATTGGCCTTCCCCGACTTCTTTTACTGAGGCACGGAGCTTTCATGGCTTGGCATCGTTCTATCGCCGCTTTATTCATCATTTCAGTACCATTACGGCTCCGATTACTGATTGCCTCACGGGCAAGTCATTTGTGTGGACGCCGGAGGCTGAAGCGGCTTTTGCTCTCATTAAGACCAAGTTGTGTTCTGCTCCTATTCTCGTTTTGCCCGATTTTTCTAGGCCTTTCGAGCTTTCTTGTGATGCGTCGAAGGTTGGGATTGGTGCTGTTCTCAGCCAAGACGGTCGTCCGGTTTGTTTCTTTAGCGAGAAGTTGTCGGGCCCCTGGGCTCGGTACAGTACTTACGATGTGGAATTCTATGTCGTGGTCCGTGCTGTTTGTCATTGGCGACATTATCTCTTTCACCGCGAGTTTCTTCTTTACACTGACCACGAGGCTTTGAGACATTTGGCGACACAGGACAATATTTCGGCCCGGCACGCATCGTGGACGGCTTTCCTTCAGCAGTTCACTTTTGTCCTTTGCCATAGGTCTGGGGCTTCGAATCGCGTGGCCGATGCTTTGAGCCGGCGTGCTCTTCTCTTAACGGATTTGCGAGTGGCTGTTGTGGGGTTTGATATCTTACGAGAGGTTTACGGGGATGATGCGTTTTTTGGGTCGATCGTGCGCCGCCTCGAGATGGCTCCGTTTGAGGATTACAGTATGTCAGATGGGTTTCTTTTTGGGGGCAATCGCCTATGCATTCCTGATTGCAGCCTCCGTCTGCGCCTTGTCGCTGAGCTCCATGGCGTCGGCCACGTGGGTCGCGATA